ATATCGATGAGTCAGACTTCAACAAAACTGAAAACTTCTGATCTTTCAAATAAGAAAATAAATAGGCAAGCCACTAGAACCGAGAGGAAATCTTCACGAAACATGTATCTAACTGGTATCCAACATACATAAAGATCTCCTAAAACTCAATAAAAAAACAGCTCCATCTTTTGGAATGGGCAGAGTATGTGATCAAGCACTTCGCAAAGGAAGCTAAACAAATGACTGAAAGAGTGCCTGACATCATCAGTGATCAGGTAAATGCAAATTAAAAACCCGGTTAGGTACCATTAGACTTTCACAAAACCGACTAACATTAAAAACACAGATAACGCACTAAATGTTGCTGAGAACTCTCCACATTATTGGTGGGACTGTAAAATGGTACAACTATTTTGAAAAATATTTTAAAGTTTCTTATGAAACTAGACATACATCTACCCTACGATCCAGCCATTCTACTCCCTTCAAGAGAAATGAATATATATGTTCCCCAAAAACACATGTACAAAAATGTTCACAGAAGCTTTCCTCATAAATGAAACACTATCAACAGTCCAGATTTCCATCCACAGGATAGTAAACCAACTGGAATGTTCATGTAATGAAATACTACACAGCAAAAAACAATGAACTACTATTGATACAGGCAACAGTATGAATAAATCCCCCCCAAATTATACAGCCTTATACAAGAATAAGTCTGTCTGACACAGGGAAGAAGTCTTATACAGGAGTACATTTAGTATGATCATTAATATGAAACTTTAAAACAGGCCAGACCAATCTGTGATAAAGAAAAAAATCAGAGCAGAAGTTGTCACTGGCTAGAACAGAATAGCTTAATTAATTCCTATACTAAAGAATACAATTAAGAATAAGGCAGTAGTGCCCTGGCTGGTGTGGCTCAGTGGACTGAGCACCAGCCTATGAACCAAAAGGTTCAATTCCCAGACAGGGCATTACCCTGGGTTGCGGGGCAGGTGCCAGGTGCCCGGCGCAGGGTGTGCAAGAGACAACCACATATGTTTCTCTCCCCCTCTTCCTCCCTCTGTCCAAAAGTAAATGAATAACATCTTTAAAAAAAATAAGGTGGTAGTAACGACTATCCTATTGAGAAAACACTACTAAGTTGTTAACTTTTTCATGTAGCTCTGACAAATACCTTCCCCGTTATCCATGTTACCTCTCGGCTCCCAACTCAAACACTATCACCTGCTCTGCAGAAGGTGCGCTGAACCCATTACGCCTTTTTCCTTTGCCAGCTGATGTTAAGTTCTCTCGGTAAGGACGCTGGACAGACACTGCAAAATGAAGAGCCTTCTCTCCCTGGTGCCAGCATGCTCCTCCAGCAGGCCCAGCTCCCCAGTCAGCTCCCCAAAGTGCCAGCCACTACCGGGTGCCTGCAGGGTGATCAGCAGTGCGTCCACGGTGGGGTGGCCAGCAGCTTCCTCTGACAGCTAGAGCAGTTTTGTGGCTGAGTGCTTCCAGCAGGACCTCGCCTCCCGGTGAATGGGCTCTCCAGTGCCCAGAAGGTGGCTACCCAGCAAGCTCTAGACTAAGAGGGTAAATCCCCAGCACGACCTGTAAGCATGGCACCACAGTGACTTTCTGTGCCACCCTGTTAGGCCTGGCCACCCTCCCCGCTGATGAGGCACGGGTCTCAGCCCTCAACTCCTCCACACTTGGAGAGTGTCTTCCCCGAGTGCTCTTAGCCACATATGCTGTTCCCATGTTACTTAGAGTTCTCTCTACCCCTTACTAGCCAATCCCTCACTCCCCCAACACCCTGTTACAGTTCTTTCTTTCCATTAAACTTGACCCATTCCAATTGTGTGGTTTCAGTTTCTTTGACTGTAAAATGAACGTACCGCATATGTCTCATAAGGCTGTTAAAAAAGATATGCCTGCCCTGGCCAGTGTGGCTTAGTTGGTCAGAGGGTCGTCTCATAGCCAAAAGGTTGTGGGTTTGACCCCTGGTCCCGGTGCAAAAAATTATTTTTTGAATTTTTAATATATATTTTATTGGCCCTGGCTGGTGTGGCTCAGTGGATTGAGCACTGGCCTGCAAACCAAAGGGTTGCTGGTTTGGTTCCTAGTCAGGGCACATGCCTGGGTTGTGGGCTGGGTCCTCAGTGAGGGGGCGTGTGAGAGGCGACCATACATTGATGTTTCTCTCCATCCCTTCCCCTGTCTAAAAAAATAAAATCTTTAAAAAAATAAAAGATAAATATGTTTTATTGATTATGCTATTACAGTTGTTCCATTTTCCCCTTTATTACCCTCCACCCTGCACACACCACCCCGCCCACACCCCGCGCCCCCAGCCCTTAGTTCATGTCCTTGTCATACATGTAAGTTCTTTGGCTTCTACATTTCCTACTCCCCCTGTCAACTTTGTACCTACCATTTATGCTTCTTATTCCCTGTACCCTTTACCCCATCTCCCCCCTCCCTGCTGACAACCTCCACGTGACCTCCAATTCTGAGATTCTGTTCCTGTTCTATCGTTTGCTTAGTTCGTTGTTTTTGTTTTAGGTGTGGTTGTTGACAGCTGTGAGTCTGTTGTCCTTTCATTGTTCATATTTTTTATCTTCTTTTTCTTAGGTAAGTCCCTTTAACATTTCATACAATAAGGGCTCAGTGATGATGAACTCTTAACTTGACCTCATCTGAGAAGCACTTTATCTGCCCTTCCATTCTAAATGAGAGCTTTCCTGGATTGAGCAATCTTGGATGTAGGACCTTGCCTTTCATGACTTTGAATACTTTCCAGCTCTTTCTTCCCCACAAGGTTTCTTTTGAGAAATCAGCTGACAGTCTGATGGGAACTCCTTTGTAGAGTAACTGTCTCCTTTTCTCTTGCTGCTTTTAAAATTCTCTCCTGCTCTTTAATCTTGGGTAACGTAATTATGACGTGACTTGGTATGTTCCTCCTTGGGTCCAACTTCTTTGGGATTTTTCTGAGCTTCCTGGACTTCCTGGAAGTCTGTTTCCTTTGCCAGATTGGGGAAGTTCTCCTTCATTATGTTTTCAAGTAAGTTTTCAATTTCTTGCTCTTCCTCATCTCCTCCTGGCACCCCTATGATTTGGATGTTGGAACGTTTAAAGATGTCTTGGAGGTTCCTAAGCCTCTCCTCATTTTTTGGAATTGTTTCTTCTTTCTTTTCTGTTAGGTTGTTTCTTTCTTCCTTCTGGTCCACTCCATTGACTTGAGTCCTGGCTTCCTTCCCATCACTACTGGTGTTATTTTCCTTTATCTCACTTAGTGTAGCCTTCATTTTTTCATCTAATTTGTAACCAAAATCAACCAATTCTGTGAGCATCCTGATCACCAGGGTTTTGAACTGTAATCTGATAATTTGGCTTTTTCTTTGTCACTTAGTTGTATTTTTTCCTGGAGCTTTGATTTGTTCTTTTAGGCCTTTTTCTTCTTTTGGTGGTCTGAGCACATGTTACATATGAGGGGCAGAGACTAGGGTATTCACCAGGGCCAGGCAACCCAGTCGCTGGGTTGTGCCATTGTATGTGGGGGCGGGGTCCAAGAGGGAACACTGTGCTTGCTCTTGCTCAGCTCTCTGCTGGATTTCAGTCCCTTGCCCTGCTACCTACAAGGAAACTGGGCCCTTCTGGTTCTGATTCCTGGGTGGGTGGGTTTGGACACATTCTAGGACCCTGTGGGTCTCTCCAAAGGATTCTTCTGTGAGGCTGGGAGTCTCTCCCACTGCCTCAACCCCCACAGGTGTTTTCAGTCAGAGGTTTGTGGCTTTATTTCCCCACTGGAACCCTGGGTTGCATGGTCTGTCTCCCTCCCCAGTCGTTCCTCCCGGTTTATCAGCACGCAAATTTGGGACTGCCCAGTCCCCCAGCTGCTGCCTTGCCATGAGCCCTCTCTGCCCAGCTGCCTATCTCCATCCCTCCTGCTGGTCTGGGTAGATGTTTCTTCATTAACTCCTTGGTTGTTGGACTTCCATAGTTTGATTTTCTGACAGTTCTAGTTATTTTTTGTTTTTAAATTTGTTATTGTCCTTCATTTGGTTGTGCAAGGAGGCACAGTGTATCTACCTACACCTCCATCTTGGCCAGAAGTGTAAAAAAATTTATTTTAGTGGCTTCACAAGAATAAAGTGAACTCTGATAATTAAGTTCTTGACTTCGAAAAACCCAGGAGTCACTGGACACTGGTCTATGAAGTCAATGGTAAGACAGAAAATGCTGAACACAGCTGTGCACAGGCGCAGTGTGTAAATGACTGTTAATGGGAGGGGGCATTTAAGGGATGAATATTCATCATCAAAACCAATGCTTGCTGCTCCCAGAAATTCAAATGTCTCACACCAGCAAGGACCCTCTAGTTGGTGCTGGTTTCAAATACCACACATAAAAGATAATCAGACAAGGAAGCCTCAAGCTTTAAAAAGTTAAAGGTGAATTAAAATTAAAATTTTAAAGCCCCAGGGCCTGGCTGGTGTAGCTCAGTGGATTGAGCACAGGCCTGCAAACCAGAGGATCATGGTTCGATTCCCAGTCAGGGCACATGCCTGGGTTGCAGGCCAGGTCCCAGAAGGGGACGCACGAAGAGGCAACCGTACGCTGATGTTTCTCCCCCTCTCTCCTTCCCTTCCCCTCTAAAGATAAATAAATAAAATCTTTTTAAAAAATTATTTAAAAATGCTAAAGTCCCAAAGTATGTTCCCCATGACCAAGAGTCTAAAGAGGCAGTACCCTCATGGTAACAGCCTGGACACTGTACAGGCGCAGATCACCAAGGCCCATCCCCAGAGAGAGAAAGGATGAATTTTGTGAACCCTGTAGATGGCCAAGAGGCCTCCTGGCCTGCATCAATGACAGCATTCTAGAAACAGGACAAATTCAAAAGTAAATTTCAAAGCACAGACCCCTCAGTCGAGAAGCTTGTGACCACTTGCGACAGTTCCTGGGCATTTCAACTTCCACCCTCAAGGGAGTACCTGTTAGTTCTCCATTTAGCACACACAGACCTGGAACTCCGGCCACACAGAGGACGGAGCTGAGGGCGACCAGGGAAGAGCAACAACACAGCTGGCCCAGAGCCCGCAGGACTGCTCTTCGACGTCTCCTGAAACAGTGTCCCCTCCAACACAGCCTGGGAGAATCAGAGCAGTCCTCCTCCTAGATATTGGTCTGAAGAGAAAAGAAAACAGGGCCACACAAAGACCTGTAGAAGAAGATTTACTGCATCTTTATTAACAGCTAAACACTAGAGCAACCCAAGTCCCCATAAGCAAATGGCAGAGCCATAAAGCGGAATACTACTCAGCAATAAAAAAGAGCAAATCCATCAAAATGGATGAATGCTGAAAAGGCAGCCAGATACAGAACGCTACGTCATCAATTCTCATTACTGACAGCGGTTACGTTTTATAAAGTCGCTGCAAACACCAAGTTAGCAAATACTGACCCACTGCTCCTGGGGAAAATGCAGGGTTAGGTTTCTGTGAGCCTCTGGTCACATTTCTGTCAATCAATCAATACATAACCTTTCACACCTACATACACACATAACCTGTTATGTATATTTTTGTTTATAGACACTTTATTTTATATTGTCAGCTCATCAGTGCTAAACTCACAGCCAACAGCCCTGTAACTCATGCCTGAACAAAGGAAGTGAACACGTGTCTCCTTCACGAGGCGCACGCTGTGCTTAGGAAGACTGGGCAGCACGGCAGCACCGAGCCTGGGGCCGTTTCGGGCAGTGAATCCCCCCGAAAAAGCACAAAAATACGAAAAACCATGACACTCAATACACTGCTAAAAGGACACCTGTTTACAGCATTAGGGCTAAAACAAGAAAGCAGAATGTCACCTTGCCCCACTGCAGGTGGGGACATGCACATCAGGCACTTTGGAATTTTTATCGTGTCCAATTCGGCAAACTGGTTTTCTCTGACCAGTGATGTGACTTAAATTTTGTAATTCATTGCCAAATTTAAAAATCAGGAAATTTTGGATAAAAATCCAGACTTCTGGTTTTCTTTAAAAAAAAAGAGAGAGAGAGAAAAGTCCCAAGATCTGATAACAGCACCTGCTGGCTGGAACTGAGGAAGCGGCCTGTGCCGGCTGGTCCACCAGGCCCCGCCACTGCCCACCGCCCTGACCCTCCGCTCCCCTGATTTCCTGCCAGCGCCGCTCACCCACAAACCCAGACATTTCTAATTTATCACTGGCCGCAGAAGGTGCAAATCGGGATGGAGAACATCATCTCATTTTTGTGAAAGTTGTAAGATGGGGAAAAAAAGTCTGGTTATATACCAAAACACTAACAGTGAAGTTACAGATGACCCTTTACTTTTGGCTCTTCTTGTTACTCATATACTTAAAAAAAAAGATTTTATTTATTTTCAGAGAGAGGAGAAGGGAGGGAGAAAGAGAGGGAGAGGAACACCAGTGTGCGGTTGCCTCTGGTACACCACAACCAGGGAACTGGCCCACGACCCAGGCATGTGTCCTGACTGGGAATCAAACCGGCGACCCTTTGGTTCACAGGTCAGCACCCAATCCACTGAGCCACACCAGCCAGGGCTCACATATTATCTTTTTTTAAACCAGTGAATGTATATTACTTATAATAAAAGCTGTTTTGTATAACTGCTTTGAGGTATAATTCACACATACAATTCATACATTTTTAAAAAGATTTTATTCATGTATTTTCAGAGAGAGGGGAAGGAAGGGAGAGAGGGAGAGAAACATGTGTAGCTGCCTCTTGGATGCCCCCGACTGGGCGCCCAGCCTGCAACCCAAGCACGTGCCCGGACTGGGAATCAAACCAGCAATCCTTTGGTTCACAGGCTGGCACTCAATCCACTGAGCCACACCAGCCAGGGCACAATTCACCCATTTAAAGTGGACAATTTTATGGTTTTTAGTCTGTTTGCAAATAGGTGCAACCATCACTGTAATTTTCAAACATACTCATCACCTCAGAATCTCATATCCTTTAGCTATCATTCCCCGTGCTCTTATCCACCCTCGAGAGACCAATAATCTACTTCCTATCTCTGTAAACCTGCCTGTCCTGGACCATAAACAGAACCATGTAATATGTGACCTTGTGTGTTTGGTGTCTTTCACCCCGGAATAACTATCTCCAGGTCTTCCCACGCCGTAGCAGGTGTCAGTACTACATTCTTTCTCACTGTCGAGAAATACTCCGTTTTAGGGAGACATCCCATCTCACGTACCCATTATCAGTTGAGGGACAGATTGCTTCTCCCTTTGGCTATCACGAATGATGCTGCTGGAAACATTCGTATACAGGTTTCTGTGAGGACATGTTTTCATTTCTCTTGAGGGAATAATCAGGAGTGGGACTCCCGGGTCATATGCAAACTCTACATGTGACCATTTACAGAACGGCCAGACCGCTGTCCACAGCGGCCGTAGCGTTCTGCAGCCTGACGGGCCGTGCACGCCAGCTCGACCGCCCCGCCGCCCCTGGTCATTACCTGACTCTTTGACTACAGAGGAAGCTTTTTATAAGTGGTCGGTCATAACGTGCCCATATTTTTATGGACTTCACAGTGCTCTTCTTCACTGACATCCAATTTTAGACTTGAAAAGACTCCACTCCTAGACCTGCTCCCCAGACTGTCTGCCTTCAGCAAAATGAGGGGACAAGAAGAAGCAAGCCACATCCCCACCAAGAAACAGAACTTTTACAGAAGCGATCAGAAGCAGATTTGTATGCACTCGATAAAACAAAGCCCCTAACTTGGATCCGACACTGAAGTGAACATGTGTTCCCATTAAAATGCATTTGTAATGACGCCTACAGAAAGGTAACTCCAAGCTACAGCCTCAAACGTGACAGCTGTGATCACCTTTCTAAAAGGACCAAGAGGTCTTAGGTTTTCTCATTCAGAATCCATTGCTCAAATCCTGCTATAGTAGGAGAAATAAAACCTGATTTAAAATTGGAGCAAAAGCACAAATCCACTGGTATGAGCACACAAAATGCCTGACTGAGCCCTGGACAGGTGGCTCAGTTGGTTAGAGCATCATTTAGATAGGCCAAGGTCATGGGTACCGTCTCTAGTCAGGTACATACAAGAACCAACCAGTGAATGCATAAATGCCTGACTGCCCCCTCGCCCCCAAGCCAGAGAGAGAGTGCACTGCGAACCCTTCCCCAGCTCTGCCCATCACTGCTCCTGACACTCAAGGCAGGAGTGAGAGGAGGGCAGCGGCAAATTCCATTGACACATGTCCAGCAGCCTAAGGTGGCAGTGAGACCCAGCACCGACCAAAAGGAGGGCCTGAGACTCTCAGCACCCAGCGCCGCCCATGCTCACCCAACGTGTGTTTTCCAAGAGTTGAAACTGGCATCTTAGGGAGGGGGTGGACCACAGAGCCGCTTTACTGTGCAGAATGCAGAATTACTGTCTTCAGGCCTCGGGTCTGCAATTCGAGGAAGTTCTGTCTCTGCTCCACAGCACTGAGGATGGGCCTCCACAGGCGCTAGAGTCGACTCGTGCTACCATTTCAGGCAGGGCAGGAGGTGGAGCTCCAGGGCCACCCAACTGCCACTTCTACTTGCCCATTCCCTCCATTTCCCTCCACTATTTAATTACAGAGGGTGTTTCCGACTCAGACAAATTTAGCACATTTCTGTAAACGTTCAATCCTCATCTAGTATGTATAGGTACATGAAGGCATGAAAATACAGTCTCTGTAGAAAAGGGGTTAAGGTTTATCAGAGGAAACAAAACATTCTTTATAAAAGGGCGAATATTGCGTTGTTGTTGTGTAAGGGCAGCAGTTCAGAGGGAGCAGAGCACCCCCAGGGGCTGCAGCTGGGCTCAGGGGAAAAGAGAAGTGGAGCGGAAGGACAGGGGCGTTCCAAAAGGGCCAGAAACCACGGGAGTCAGCTGGCAAGTGACTTGTGTAGGGAAATAACTAACGTGTGTAGAATGCTCAGTAAACCACTTGGCCAGTGGGGATTAGGATAAGCCCTGGAAAGGTGGGCTGAGGCCAGCTGGCCAGCAGCACCCTGACTGCCACATTAGAACACCAGATCTCATCCCACAAACCTGTAGCAGTTCCTGGCGTCAGTGCAGGCTGTCCACAGTCTGTGAAGTGTGTCTGCTGCTCAGAAGAGTTAAAAGTGTTGATATTTACACTTGAATCACATAAAGACAAAGAAGTTTAAGTGAATGGAGGATCCGCTATCATAACAAGATTCTTATTTGCACTTAGAAATGCCCAACACAGAAGTACTGCTATTAGCTACTTCGGGGTAGTAACATGCTGAATCAAGCATCATCTACTAATCTACCACTCATAAATGCTATCATGAGGTTGTAAAAGCATTACATAAAGGCAATAAAAGCTCTTGGATATTCTATAATGTCCTTGGGGGCAGGAAAAGTTAGTGCTTAGAACTAAGAGAGTATCTGTCACTTCCTACAACTCAGAGAGGTCCTAAACAGGCTAGGAGCCTAACTTGAGGCTATTTTAACAGAAACTGGCAAGAATTTAACCCTGTGGCTGCCTTACAGGGTAGGGGGAGTTGGTTCCTTTGGGACAATTTTGAGAAGGAAATATTTTAGTATTTCCTTCCTTTCTTACCAAGAACTGCCCAAGGAATTGGTCTTACCAAGGTCAAAATTCATTCAAGATTCAAAGAAAATGGCCAGAACGCAGGCAGTGAAATATATCACCTAGACTACTCAACTTCTCTCTCTTCTCACTAGTAAGACAACCGGCAAGTAAGAGGCCGGCAGCCTTCTCTGGTTTCAGCCTCTGTTCTCCAAAAGAGAACAGAGGGGCTGGTTTCTTTCAAAATTAAACATTCTGAAGCTGACAAGATCCTGACCCAAGTGCATGAGGTATTGTTGCTTAGTGGTCTCACGCAGGCTTTTCACATGACCAAATCCAAGGAGCCTGTGCAGAGAAGCCAAGGGACCACAGGAAAAAAAAATGTGCCTTGGAGCGCTCAGAACTCTGCTGCACACAGAGGCCAAGGTCTCTAACCCTCCCAGCCTGGCAGCAAGAGGGCCTGAGAGGGTCTGTTTTCACTGGGCAAGATATATGTAGTCTGTTAAAAGTTAATTCAGCAGTTCCATACAATCCACAGTGACCAAAAAAAAAAGTTTCATCTCTTTTTCTGATTCCAACATATCTCTACACTTCCTTTGTCTCATTATAGTAGGAGAAATCTCTTTAGCAGGTAAAACCAACCCAGTCATCACCACAATACTCACTTACTCCTAGAGCAAAAACAGGAGAACCTTAGCACAACTCCAAAAAGTGGTGGTAGAGAACCGAAGAAATTATGTCCCAAAATTAATTCGGGCATCACGGGCATTTCACCAGGCCTACATTAAGGAAGAAGCAAACGGTGAGCTCCGAGGAGCACGGAGGCAGGTGCCGGGCAGAGGGCCTCCGCCCTCCCAAAATGACACCGGGACGCCTGGCTCCCGCGGCTTTCGCCTGTTTCGTCTAGTCTCAGTCTCAAGCCGTCTGAAAAGCACTCGCAGGAGCGACATCTAAGAAAGAGGTCCGGATATTTCTCATCCGAGAGCAACACAACGCCCCGGAGAGCACCAGGCTGGCTCTGGACATGGATCAGCGCTGCGGACCAGCGGAGCCCAGGGCTTCGGTCAGAGAAACTACTTTCCCGCTACCCAGCGGGCTGTCCCTTGGGCGCGGGACTCTCAGCCCTTCGCCCCGTCGCCATCCCCGCGGCCCCGGCGTCAGCATCCGGGAGGCTCCACAGGCGGCCGATCAGGACACTCAAGCGATGTTTAAGTGATGCTCTAGAGATATCCCAGCCCCGCGCGCACCCGCTCCAACCCGGCACCCGCCGCCGCCCGCCCGCGGCCGTCAGGCCGGTCCATTAGCCCGTGTGCTGTCACTCACCGGCCCGGCCCGGGCAGCGAGCGCCCACGGCTCCCCACGGGAGCTGGGCCCCCTGGGCCTCCAGGATTCGGCCCGCCCCTGACAGGTGGGGCAGGTGGATGAGCCCCAAAGCAGCGACCCCGCACCGGCCGCTCGGTCCAGCTCCTGGCGCTGCCCACTGGGTAGGATCAACAACAAGATGGCGGCTAGCCGAGGGGGCGGGGGCCGGGCGTCATAGTAACCAGGGCGGCAAAGAACCGCCCCCGAACGAGACTGTCTCCAATTAACAACCTCTTTACCTGACGCCTGGGGAGTGCCTTTCGATGACAGGTCAACCTGCCTGTCAATCAAAGCCAACCTCTGACGGCCCGGGCCAAGCGCTTTGGCACGTGACTGTGACGGCACTGATTGGCGCATGCGTGAGGTTCGCAGAGCTGCGGGCGGCAGATCTTTTGCGGGTGACTCCGAGGCCGAAGCGCCCTTGGCCTCTCGTTGTGCGCGACTCCGGTGCGAACCCAGGAGCGTCTCCCTACCCACTCGTGCGCACACTTAGGGACTGCCTATTGTGTGCTGTTTGTTTTTTAATTTTTGTTCCCCACCCGGAAGGGAGGGGTTGCTGTCCCCAGTTCACTGGTAAAAAAACTGAGGCGCAGAGGGGGAAACAGGATCAAGGTCACGCCGCCTCTGGAAGTGGAGGCACCGGATCTCGTACCTCTTCCTGCTGGCTCCAGGGTTTAATGCCCTCTTTCTAGCGGCTTTCCCAGCTTTGCCCCTCATCAGTCCTGAAGTGCAGCCCTCTGTGCTATCCTCAGCGGCCCCTGGCCCGCTGCCCACGTTTGTCCTTCTGTCTACAATTCAGTTCCCAGCACAACCCCTGGCACACAGCGGGCACTTTCTTTTGCCATCCTAAAGTAGCTTGTCTTGGGTTCTTATGACAATATATTTTGCCCTGGACTGTTAAGATGGGTCTCTGAGGGCGACCATGAGTCCTGGAAAGGCTGTTACCTGGGGTCAGCCATTCAGAGTGCTACCCCTGGGCTTGGCTCCAGGGTTAGGAGGCCAGATGCAGTCACACAGTCTGCACCCACATCCAGTGTCAGGACCAGTTAGCACCGTGACTCTTGAGCCTTGGTTGCCACATCTATAAAGTGGGGATAACAGCCTGGCTCTTTAGAGATGAAGATTTAATGAACCCTTAGAGCAGGGTACGTGCTCAGGAAAAGTCTGCCTACAACCACCCCCAGGCTGGGTTTCCATCCCCAAGGCCAGCTCTAACACCCTCACTTCAGTGGGAGCACCGAGAAGTGGGTTTTTCCCGCAGAAGGGGCTCGCTTGCTCAGCTTCTTCCCTGACCTGGGACTTCCTGACTGGCTCAGAGAAGGAGAATCTTCCAGTCCCCTGACAGGATTCGGGCCCAAAGACTTGGCAGGGGGAGAAGACTGAGAGAACTTGGGGTTACCACAGAAAAGATGGCCTCCACCAGCCCTGGCTGGGTGCTGGGTCAGTTAGAGCAACGTCCTGTGACACCAAGGTTGCAGGTTCAATCCCAGGTGAGGGAACACACAAAAATCAACCAATGAATGCATCAACAGGTGGCACAATAATTCGAGGTCTCTCTCTCCCTCCCTTCCTCTCTCCCTAAAATCAATAACTTTAAAAAATAATAATATAGCCTCCACCAGACAGCAGTTCCTCTTGGATGGCTGGCAGTACCCTGCAACCTGATGAGCAGGGAAAGTTGGCTGGCCCAGCCCCCAGCGGCCTCCGCCCACCTGGCTGTGTGCAGCAGCTTCATTTAGCCAGGGGACGGCTGAGCGCCAAGGAACCAGAAGAAACACCAGGAAGACGTGAGGATGGCCCCTCAGAAGAGGGCCGCCCTCAACGCCTCTATGGCCGTCTGTGTCACAGCATTCTTTGGTCTGTACCAACCCACCCCTCAGTGCAAAACTCCAGACCCTTCCTAGGAAAACCTCCGCCCACAGTGGGCAAACTGCTGCAACAGTGTCCTCTTCTCAGTGGAAAAAGGAAGCTGCTGGACCCTCTCCACCAGCCGGAACGGGTGGCCTTTGAGGGGACAGGCCCCGCAGTCCTAACAAAACTAACAGGTCCTTAGCTCTGCAGAGCACTGATGGCGGGCAGCCAGAGCACCGCACAGTGCCTTCTTAAAAACACCCTTCTCCGCCGTGCCTAGTGTGGCTCAGTGGGTTGGGTGCCCTCCCGCAAACTGAAAGGTTGCCAGTTGGGGCACTTGCCTGGGTTTCGGACCAGGTCCCCGGTTGGGGGCATGCAAGGGGCAGCCCATGATGTTTCTCCCCCACATCGAAGTTTCTCTCCTCCTTTCTCCCTCCCTTTCCTTCTCTCTAAAGATAAATAAAGAAAATATTTTAGAAAAAATAACCACACTACTGTCCAGAGTGTTCCCACAAGGTAGGGAGTTCTCCAAGGGAGAACAAGGAAGTGCAGATCGCAGAGCTTCTCCCACACGTGGCCTGCGAGGCTGGGGCTATCTTGTTTGCAATTTTGTTTATTATTGAATCATCTTGAAGGCACAGCCATGACGATGTGGAGAGATTCCCACACAGCGAAGAAACTTCTTGGCCTCAGAGCCAGCGCCGGGCTCCCGTGCGAGTGCTGAACAGGTAATCTCTGCCTGTGCCTGAGTTCAGACGGTCAGGGGGGAGGGGGCGCTGCTGGCCTCAGCAGAGCTGCCTCCCTCTCCTAAGGGTAGGAGATGCCCCAGGACCCTGGGTGTGACCCGCCTTCTGCTTAATCCAACCCTTCTCCTCCCTCCTTTCTCAGAGAATCCCGTGAGGTCTGGCTCCAATGCACAGGAAGCGTATCCTTGATTCTGCAAAACTGGACACCAGCCCCCCCTAAACTCAGAGCCAGTCTACTCTGCCATACTTCATTGGTGACAATGGAGTATCTGGGGGCCTCTCCCTCACCACCGTCCCCCTTGCTCCCGAGGGCAGGAACCAGAGTGGCTCTGAGTCATTTCCTGGCCCCACAGGTGTTTGACAAGCATTGGCTAGAAGGTGAGCGGGAGCGAGAACCCACCCCATTCGGGGAAAGAGGAGATCAGATAGTGGGTGCTTGGTGGTAGGAGACCCTGAGATGGGGAAAGGAGGGAACGTGGGCCCAGGTGGGAAGTGGTCTGGGAGGAGGGGCACTCACGGGAGTCCTGTGCTCTGCCATCAAAATGCTGCTGAGGGGAAAATGAGAGGGCACAGTGAGGCGAACCCTGTCCACGGGGTCAGAAGCCCACCTGCCCTCTGTATCTCGTGGTACTGGGTCGGCCTTCTCACAGGGATAGCCCGCCGTAGGGGCGGGTGGGTGTGGTGGGGGATTACTCCAGAGCAGCCTCAGTGCCCCCGCCACGCGGGGCGGAGGGTTGACCTACGAGGCTCCTGATGCCGCTGGGGGCCCGCCGCGTCTCCATCCTCGGTGCCTCAGTGGACCCCTCCGTTCCCGGGATGCTGGAGTGAAGCAGGAGCAGGAGCACAGGATGAGGCTCTGGGCCCCAGCCTCAGTTTAAGTGATGGACTTCCAGGTGTAGAGGTATGCAAAGAAGGCTGACCTATTCAGTGGCGGAGCCTGGGCTGGTGTGCTTGGTGTCTGTAGCCCCCGGGCCAACCTAAAATGCCAGGGGGAGGGACCAAGCGTGAGGGCACCACAGCGGCTGGCTGCAGGGACCCGCACCACTCGTCCACCCCTTTGTGCTGGAGGGAGCCAGTGTCGGTCTGCGGCGTCCACATTGCCTCCCCCACCACTCCTGGGTTTAGCCCTGTGTCCACAGGAAGCTCAAAGTTTGGGGGGTAGGTCAGGTTTCAAGTGGAGGGCAGGGGAAAGGAAGAGGGTAATGCCCAATGTGTGGCACACCCCGCCTGAAGCCCTGGGCCTCGCCCGCACCCATCCCTTCCCAAGCCTGGGCTCTGCCCACGGCGAGACGGCGTCCTCCGGCGTCTCTCTGCCTCCACCGGACAACCTCCGGTGGGCGGGCAGCACTGGTTATTATCTGTTATCAAATCGTGGCCGAAACCGCCTCTCACAGGAGCGGCCCAGGAGGGGGCTGGGGGAGGCAGGGTGCCCGGGGCAGGCGCCCTACCCCCGGCGGAGCCTGCTGAGGAGACAGCCCAGAGTCAGGAGGAGAAGGGCACCGGTCACTGTCAGTGCCACCACAAACCAGGGCTCCGGCTGCCAGAAAGCCTCTGTGTCGGTCACGAGCAGGGGCATCCTCGTGGAAGGCACCTGAAATGGGGGCCACAGCCTCACCGCTGCCCTGCCAAAGAGCCCTGATCATCCAGCCCGCAAACCCCTCCAAGGGCTTGGCCCCCCAGCCCCAGATCTGTTCTCCTGTATTGCTCTCTGCACTCAGCGGTTCCCTCCGGAGTGCCTTCCGCCACCGTCCACCTGGAGAACTGGGTCTCCTCACCCTCCGAGAGCCTCTCTCCCCACCCCTCAAGGGCCCAAGGACCTCCCTCACTGTGGCTCTGTGGGTGCTGGTGGCCTCTGTGCTGGCCCTCCAGGGGACCAGATGCACAATGACGATAGCTGTGGTGCTGAGGTGGGGGATGGAAGGGCCTGCGTCGGCCACACGGATCAGTAGCTCATAAGTGTGGGGCTGCTCTGGCCAGGGGGGCCCCGACGCAAGGTCGCTGTGCACCAGGATGGCCCCTTGCAGGTTGAATCGGCTCTGACTGTTCCCTGAGAGCAGAGTGGTAGAAGAAGGGGACTATTGTGGGCCTTGCTTGCCCCTCCCCCACAGCCTGCCCGCCCCCACGGGCCTCACCTCCCACGATGCTGTAGGAGAAAGCCAGGCGCTGTGGCTCCTGAGGGACCCAACATGACACCTTGGTCACCTCCAAGCTACGGCCTGGGAAGGTGTGGACGGTGAGTTCCTGAAACGGGGGCTCACACTCCGGAGCATGGTCATTCACATCCTGTAGGAAGGTAGCCGGGTCACCTGGTCCCCAAGTCCCCAAGACAGCCCCTCAGCCCCCTTCCACCACAACTGGAGCCTAGGAGTCAGGCAACAGGCCACAGAGCTTCCCACCTGAGGCTCCGCCCCCTCCAGCCAACTGTCGGAAGAAACTGAGGCACGGAGGGAAAAATCGGAATGCGAGGGAAGGAGACCTGAATTCTTTCCAATTCTCCCCAAGGCCTCGGGGCTCAATCACCTCCACCTCGATGGTCACGGTGCAGGAGCCAGTGCGGTGGCGGATGGAGTCCGGGTCTCCGCTCTGGTCGGTCACCAGGACGGTGAGCCTGTGCAGCCTCTGCTGCTCGTAGTCCAGAGGCCCCAGGAGGCGAACCTCTCCTAGAAGGGGGACCGTGGGAGCCCAGCCTGCGGACTCAGCTCTGGCCCCAGCCCTGCGCCCCAGCCCTGGGGAGGACGTACCACTGAGGCGGTCCACGGAGAAGGTGGCAGCCCCGCCAGAGCTGTAGTACTCTACCCTGTCACGCGGGTAATCCATGTCTGTGCCCACCACAGAGCCCAGCAGGGTGCGCGGCCCCGCATCCTCGCGAACCCGGAACACACGTGGAGCACAGGCTGGGGAGAACTCGTTGACGGGTGTCACCGTCACCAGCACTGGCACCTCGGCTAGAGGCCGTTAAGCAGTCAGGAAGCTGGCCTGGGGCGCCCAGCCCTGCCCCAGGGGGCTGGGTGGGGAGACGGTATGGCGGGAGGGGAGGGGGTCTGGTAGGGGCCCAACTCGCACACAAACAGCCCTGTTGGGTTTTGAGGGAGGAGAGATGACCCTGTCCTGAGACTGGGGCAGGGGAACAGAACAGCCCTGTCAGGAATGTCCCGACCTGGATATGGTCACTCACTGGTCATCGGGGGCTGACCACCATCGAACACCAGGATGGAGGCTGTGAGCTGAAAGCAGGCCCCAGGAGCATCACAGTCCAGCGTGGCATTCACCTGACCAGTGGGGCCAGAGAGTGAGGCCCAGCCATGGCCTTGGGGAGCCTTGAGCCACACTGGGCTGCCCCAGGCCAGGGCCTCCACAGAGAGCCGACCCCAGCCCCGTGTTTTGCAGACTGCAAAGCAAGTAGGCTGCGCCACCATCTCCTTCACCCTGGTCCGGCTCCCACAGACTCTTGCCCCTCCCGCTGCAAGCACCCTGCTCGTGGGCCTGGGGCCCGGCGCTGGGCACCTTCAGATCCCTGTCGCTAAGGCAGAGGCTAGACAGCCCCGGAGGGCCGTGAAACCGCAGCTCGTAGTCAAGGGTGGAGGCAGGAGAGTCCGGGTCAGCACAGGTGAAGGTGCTCAGCATGGCGCCCACAGGCACAGTCTCCGGGACTTGAGTCCTGGGAGCAGAGGGTGGGTGGGAGTTGGGGCCAGGAAGAGCCATGGGTGGCGTCCCAGGGGCCTCAGTGAGGCTCTGGCGTACTCACACCAGAAGAGCTGGGTGGCAGCGTGGGGGCCAGCGGTTGACCGGAGTCACATTCACGGTGAGATCCAGCTGGACGCTGGCCCACGGCAGGAGCCGCTCGAAGGCCTTCACCTGCAGCACAGTGACCGCCGCGCCTGGGGCCAGTGCCAAGTATAGGGGCCCAGTGGTCCGAATCACGCCATCCGCTGGGCGGGGTGGGAGGGGTTGGGGGGTGCAGAGTTTGGCCCCGCCCCAAGCTCATTCCGGGGGAGCTGGGGGGCGGGGGGGGGGGTAGGTCCCAACCTCCCACCCCATTCCCTGGGCCTGAAGGCACCACGCCAGGTCACCAGCGTCGGCCCCTCCAAGGCCGGGCCACCAGAGGCAAGCTCGCCCCAGTTTCTGCCTCAGCTCCAGCCTCTTTTCTCAGGAAGGCGTGAAAGGTAGTGCAAATAACCTCTGGGCCACTCACAGAGGCATTTCTACCCCTCCACACCCCTCGCCGCATCCCCCTCACCGGGTCCGATGGAGAAGAGCGGGCAGGGCACAGGAGAGAGGATTTCGTAGCGCACGTCCCAGCCCCGGGCCTGAACCTGAACCACCTTACTCCCAGGCACCAGGTCCTCGGGGATGGCGATGTTCCGGTTCTGCTCCCTAAACCAAAAGGGGCACCAGCTCCACGGGATCCTGCCCTCCACCCCTTTCTAGGTCCGAAGGCCCATCCTCTGGGACTTCCCTCATACCTGAGCTAGCTGGAACACTCCAGCAGCCCACCTTAACCCGCTCCTGCTTCCCTGGGGCTAGACCCTGCCGCCCCTCTGTCCTAGGGCAGGGGAGTCTTACAGGAAGGAGACCCGGCTGGAAGGAGCAGACAAAACCTTCACTGTGAGCATCCCTCGGCAGCTCCGGCTTGCTCCCAAGGTCACCAGGATCTGAAGCTGGAAGGTCTGGGCACACACAGAACAGGAAGGGAACCATGGGGGCTTCTACAGGTGTGTCTGCACCCGGACCCCCTCCAGGACCCACAGAGAGCTCCAACATTCACCCCTCGCCCAGACCGGTCATCCTGCCGTCATGCACTCCTCTGAGGCTCATCCTGGGGCCACTAATCCTTCCATCAGGACGCAGACAGCCCCCCAAAGGACTAATATATGAGTCATCAGTATGCGACTTACCACTTAGAATTGCTAAGAGCCAGTCACTAAGGTGTGGAACTTTTTTTTTAATTTTTAAAAGATTGCATTTACTTTTAGAGAGAGGGGAAAGAAGGAAGAAAGAGAGGGAGAGACACACAATTGTGTGTGGTTGCTTCTTGTGCACTGGGGCCTTGGCCTGCAACCCAGGCATGTGCCTTGAATGGGGATTGAACTGGTGACCTTTCAGTTCACAGTCGGCACTCAAACCACTGAGCCACACTAGTCAGGGCCAAGAAGTGGAATTTTTAAAGAAGAAACTTCTCTAGCCTCTTTCAGACTGCACTAGCCACTTGACTCTGAACTTTCCCTTCCTGCGTGACTGCTCTGAACGCTCTCCTTTGTGTTCCAGGCACCATGAGCTCCCAGAGCCGAGGGTCTCTCTTCTTTCTGGAATCAGAGCCCAGCACGGAACCGACACGGGGCAGGGGATGCAGGTGTGGTGATGTCTGGGAGAGGCAGCATCATGGAGAGGACCCAGGAGGCCAGGAACGAGAGCACTCCAGGAGTTGGCGGCCCCGCCCGCTGTACGCCCAACTACGGATGCCCCCAGTCCCGAGTGGCACTTACCTTTGGAGCCTGGCCTTTGAGGCCCTGGGGTGGTGCCTGCAGCCAGCCCTGCCCATTGATGGAGAAAGGCCCAGGGAAGTGTGGGGGGTCCTGGGCACTGGTGATGTTTATCTGACAGGACAGAGATGCCTGAGGACCCATCCTCCAGCCCCAGTGCCCAGAGCATCCCTGTCAAAATTGCCAACCGCCCAGCAGGTACCTGCCCACACCCGGCGCTCCCAACCTGGGGACTGACACTTACCCTAGCTAGGGCAAACCCAGGCCCTTGGCCCTGATCCTTAATCCTTTCTACTTTTAGACCATTTGCTTTAAAAAAAAAAAACAACTACATTTTGTTTTTGCATTACAAAAGTGACACAGGATTTTCCTGGAGAATTTAGAACATGTAGGAGAACTTGAGAGAACTCAGCCCCAGAGAGGTTCCTGTGAGAACAGCCATGTCACTAAAGGGTGGGGGACCTCAGTGGCTCACTCCAAAACCGTGTATCAGGCAGAGGCTCTGCTGCACACTAAAGGGTCCCCTGGCAAAATGCACCTGGCCAGGCAGGGCCTGGGCTCGACCTCCCCATACCCCCTCCGTTCTGCCGCACCCCCACACCCCGCCCGGACACTGCCTATGTGCTGGGCTCACCTGGGCTCCCTGGAGTCCTAGGTCTGGGAGCAGCAGAGTGTACAGTCTGGCCCCAGGTGTGACGGTTTCCAGCACCTGGATGACTTCCCCAGATGGCCAAAGGGGAGGTCAGGGAGGCTCTGTTCGGGCCATTCCTGCCCACCCCTGCCTGCTGCCCCTGGTCTCACCTGGGCTGACGAATCGGGCAGCACATTGGATATGGTCAGGGTCCCGCTGCACATCAACGGAGAGTGGTCCTTCCATCACAAGGGTGCCACATGTGACCTGCAGCTGTAGCTCGTAGTGGTTCACAGCCAGGGTGTCCAGCCGGGTCAAGTTGTCCAAGGTCAGCTGTGGCAAGGGGCAGTGCCATATGGGGCCTAAGTTCTCCTTCTCCCTGTACCCCCTTTGGCTTTGTGAATTCAGGGTCTTCTCTTGTACCCCCTGGTCCCCAGCTGTGCCCATGCCCCCACCTTTCCCATATAGATCCCCTGCCACATGGTTACGCTGATGTTGAGTGTGTCGAAGAAGGTAGTGGGTGGCTGAACATGCAGCAACTTCAAGGTGGGCATGTGTGAAGAGCAGTTCAAGGAGAAAGACTGAAGGGCGGCGCTGGGCCCCCGTCTCTCAGAGATACTTATGGACCAGGGTAGGCAGTGGAGGCCTGTGAGGAAGAGACGACCAGGCTGGGGGCCCTGTGCACAGGGCACCACACACACGAGGGTAGTTTCGCCTGTCTGCCACAGGGCCCCTCCTTTTCCCCCATACCCAGCCATAGGTCAGCTCATTTCACAGACTGGGAGTGAGGCCTCCATTGAGGAAGACGCCAAGAGAGGAACGAGGGCCAGGGCTCCAGATCTGTGCTCTTTCCTGCCTCTCCCCCAGCCCCTGCCCTCCACCATAGCTTATCTGAGAAAAATCAGGTCTCCGCTACACTAGGGAGTTCGGGGTGGTGGGGTGGTGGTGAGAACTGGGGTTCCCCCACCCACCAGCTCCTCACCAGAGACAACCAGAGCAAGGAGCAGTGCCACGGGCCTGAACAGCGCCATAGTGTCCTAAAGATATGGATGGCAGAAGAGCCTGGAAAAGCAAACTGTCAGGCCCACCTGTTGCCAGGTGAGCTGCTCAAACACACGGGTGGGCGGGACTCCCGGGCCTCGCAGACTGCAGCCACACCCATTCCCACTGACCGAGCTCTAGACTCCACACAAGCCTCCAGACACCAGTAAAACCCCAGTTTTTCACGGCTCGCAGGGAATTCCCCCTTTTATTTCTACAGCCCGAAGGAGATGTGAGGGGAGAAGGGCTGAGCTTCAGATGGGGAAACTGAGACTCAGGGAAGTTGTGGTCATGCAGTCCTTGGAGACAAAGCAAGACAGTCCCCAGGAAACTTGCTACCCCACAGAGTCTGAACTCCGACTGCCAGCCCCCGTTTGAACCTTATCTGCCCTCCTAATCTGAGCCTCACCACCAACAAAATCTCTCAGAAGTTGTTTCCCTGCATCAAGCAAAAAGAACCCACGGTGGCGGAAATCAAACAGTGGATATCAACGTAGCCTTCGGGAATGGTTGGAGATATTCTATAGCTTCATCTGGATGATAGTCGAACCAGTGTCTACAGATTTTAATACTTATTGAGCTGTACCTTTGAGAGTTGTCCATTTGTTGTATTTACATGTCAATTTTTCAAAAGCTGCCTAGCCCTGGCTGGTATGGCTCAGTGGATTGAGCACCGGTCTGTGAACTGAAACAGTGTCGGTTTGATTCCCTGTCAGCGCGCATGCCTGGGATGAGGGCCAAGTCCCTAGTTGGGGGGCGTGTGAGAGGCAACCAATGGATGTATCTCTCCCACATCCATGTTTCTCTCCTCTTTCTCCCTCCCTCTCCCTGTCTCTGAAAAGAAATAAAACCTTTTTTGAAAAGCCGTGTACATTTGCTCTCTCCAGTTCTTTACCTCTCACTCTCTTCTGCTCATTAATCAAGCTCACCCCTCCTCCCACGGAGCTGCCCTGGTTGGGGTCCTCGGGAGTTCTTTCTCCAGTCTCAACTCCTTGGCAGCATACGACGCTTGCTCCTCATAGCTCCTAAGTGTCCACTCTCTACTTCCTCCCTGCTCCCTGGCTGTTCCTGCTTGCCTCCTTTGCTGGTTCTGTTTCATCTTCCCTAACTCCACTGGGTGGGGTGTCCCAGGGCTCAGTCCTGACTGCCAAACTCACCTTTGCCATCACATCCGGACACATGGCCTCAAGTACCACCCACTTGCTCTGCCCCCCAGGTCCAAGCCTTCAGTGCTGATTTCTCTCCCAAACTCGAGAGTCACACACCCAGTGGCGGACCCCCGCCTCCCAGCATCGTCCCTTGGATGTCTAACAGGCAGCTCAAGGGTCACATGTCCACAAATGATCATTTGATTTCCCAACCAAAACCTTCTCTTCTCCAGTCTTTCCTGGATCAATTCACGACAATCCCATCCAACCAGATGTTCAGGCAAGAAATCTAGGAGTCATACTTGATGCTGTTTTCCCCTGCCCATATTCAGTCGTCAGCAAGGCTTGATTTTAGCTCCAAAACATACCCCAAAGTGGCCCCCTTTTGTGCATCAGCCCCACCGGGGCCCAGGCCCTCCCCTCCTGTGCTGGACGAGGTTAGGAGCCTACATTCCGATTACAGAGGGGCTCTCCCAGAGCAGCTGGGATTCCGTAAGCAAGAGCCAGCCCAGGTCATTCCTGCTCAAAAGCCCTCAGCGCCCTCTACCACACCAGGAACAACCAGGACCTCATATTTCTCAGGCTGCCAGGAGCCTAGTTTTGCTGACCTCTTCATTCCCCCAACTACCATCTTCATAGATATTTTCATTGGTTTCAGAGAGGAAGGGAGAGAGAAATGTCCATGAGAGAAAAAAAGCATAGGTTGCCCCATCCAGGCGGTCGGGGGGAATGGAACCTGTAACCTTTCCATCACACAAAGATGATCCTCCAACCCACTGGGCCACACTGGCCAGGGCAACTCGGGCCTTCTTTATGTAAAACCCTGTCCACCTCCTGTCCTCTCAGGGCTTTTAACTGGCTGATTCCTCTGCCTAGAATGTGCCTCTTGATCTCTCCGTGGTGGCTCGTCCAGATCCCACACGGAATGCCACTTCATCTGCGAGGCTCCTCTTCCAAGCTAGTCTTTTACTCATCACCGGTATTTTTCTATTTACTGACTGCTCTGTCTCCAGGTAGACAGTATCCTTGAACATGGTCTGCAATCGGGGAGCGCCTGGGGGCAGAACAGTCTCTGACCCTTCCCACTAGAGAGCGCCCGCACTAACTCCCCTGCATTCGCTTTCATTGGGCAGGTGGCCTGCGGCCGGTGAGAGAATGCAGATGTCACCGCAGAAATCGCCGCTAGCCGCGCGCTCCCCACTAGAGGGCGGCCCGGCGTAGCTTCGCTCAGAAGCGGGATGGAGGCTTGGCTTGGTTGAGGTTAGGCATCCCTCGTTCCCGGAGTCCTCCGAGAGGGCTGGGCCCCACCACTTCCAGGGATTGTCACTGCCCGCTCCAGGAGCGGGTCCAGTGGGTTGGGCCCTGAGGACCGTCGACTGGGGGCGCACTGCCTTCACAAGGGCGCGGCAGGGAAAGCCGCGCGCTCAAGGGGCCCCTGAAGGAGGGACCGCAGCTCTGTCCTGATAAAAATGGGGAAATTGAGGCTACTGTGAGGAAGAGACTTGTTCTGGATCACGAAGCAAACCGGAGTCAACTCAGCCGCTGGGGCGTCGGGGAGTCCAGGGACGGACCGGCCTTCTAGCAGCAGTCCCGCCCCTCGGCACGGAGCGAGAACTAAGTGGGGAGTGGGCGTGGGGCTCGGCCCCAGCCCGGCCCCAGAGGCGGGGCCACTTCAGCCCCGCCCCGCCCCATTGGCCGCGGCGCCAGGGGCGGGGCGCTGCTGCCAGATGTTGGGGCGGCTGCAGGAGCTACGGAGCGCGAGGAGTCCCGGCGCTAAGCAGAGGGTGAAGGCTCCGCTGGCCGGGCCGCCCGGCCCTCTCAGCGCCGCTCCCGCTGGAGTTTTCAGAGGAACTGGCAGGCCCGGTGGGGGCGCCGGCAGGGGCATGCACAGCACTCGGCTTGACAGCTTCCTGGGCCAGCTCCGCTGGGAATTGGTGAGACTTGGGATCGGTGTAACTCTTAAGGACGTGTGTGGGGTGTTCGCCTGCCCTCAGCCGAAAGACACTCGGGTAGGGGACTGTCCCGAGTGCTCATCCTAGGTGGGGTGGGGGTGGAGCGGCCCAGATGGCCCAGATGGCCCGCGTCGGGTTTCCGACGGTTGGGAGCTGTGCCGGGCATCAAGTAACAGCCGCCCAGCTGGCCTTGCTGCCTGGCCTGCGGAGGGAAAGGGGAGGGAGAAACTTCTTTTTGGGTGTAACAGTGGCCTTCGAGGGACTAAAGAGGTGCTGGTGCTGCTGTGGATGCCCCCTATGCCAGGCTGGCCTGCAACTCCTTCCTCTACCCTGCACCTGGCAAGTGCTCTATCCTTCTCTGAAAGATGAAAGACAATGTGGGGTTTGGGGAGCTGAATCCCTCTAAAAGCACGGGATGCTCCACCCCACCCCCCACCCCCAACCCCGAGCAGGACCTACTTCCCGATTTGGGCCGGCAACCCTGCCTCCAGCCCTGGGCCTTGGTGACGGGTGCCGACTTGCCCAACCCTGCATGCTGCAGCCTGCCAGGCTGCCACCAGGTCGACTTATGGCAGCCACACGAGCTTCGTGTGCCAGCGCCCCCATAGCCTGTCTCACTAGAGGCCCTGCTGCCCAGGCCTGCAGGAGTGACCAGCTACTCCTCTGACTTCTGCCCTCTCTTCCTCCTCAGCCCTGTGGCCGGGACACAGGCTCATCCCCAATGCCCGGTCCCCTTCCGCCACGCCCCAAACACGGCCCAGGTGCCCACCACCGGCTCAGGGCCTCAGATGCCTTGGAAGAGGACTCCGTCTGCTGTGTGGAGGAAGAGGAGGAGGAAGGTGTGACAAGAGACGGAGGCGTAGCCTTGGAGGGCCCCAGGGGGCACACCTTAGACTGGGACTCTGGCTTTTCTGAGGTGTCAGGCAGCACGTGGAGAGAGGAAGAGCTGCCTGTACCTCCAGCACCCCCGGCATGGCGCCCCCGCAGACAGCACCTCTCGGCCAGTGGCATCCCCTTGTCCAGCGTAGCCTCTGTGGCTGGTGCCCCCCCATCTGCCCACCGACCTCGGCCCAAGTCCACCCCAGATGCCTGCCTAGAGCATTGGCGAGGCTTGGAAGCCGAGGACTGGACAGCAGCCCTGCTGAGCAGAGGTCGAAGTCGCCAACCCCTGGTCCTGGGGGACAACTGCTTCGCTGACTTGGTGCACAACTGGATGGAGCTGCCCGAGGCAGCAGGTGAGGGGGACAATGGGGGTGGGCCGCGTGCCCGTGCTCGGCCCCCCCAGTTCCTGCTTGGCCTCTCTGAGCAGCTGCGGCGCCAGCTGGCCAGGGCCCGAAGGGCAGCCATGGCGGGAAAGCGACTGTCGTGCCCACCTCGTGCGGAACCCGAACTGCCTGCGGACGTCTCGCGCTTTGCAGCCCTCATGAGCTGCCGCAGCCGCCAGCCCATCATCTGTAATGATGTTGTCAGCTACCTCTGACCCTTCCCTCCAGCCCCAGACAATAAAGGCCTTTCTCTGGACTGGTTCCGTACGCCTGGGTCTCTGGGAGGCAGCCCCAGTCCTGGGAGGCACAGCCCAGGCAGGCAAATCTGAAGAGCCTTTTCCCTCCCTCCAGGGGACCCTGGGTGCCCCAGTCACATCCCATGTGTATTACTACCCAGCATTCCATCATCCGGCCTCTCCATTTACGCCTTCCTTCAACAAGCATTTATTGAGCACCTACTGTGGGCTTGGGACGCAGAGCTCTACAGAGGTGGTGGGGCTGCCGCTTTGTCGCAGCTCATAGTGCAGGGGTGGGAAGGTGGTGTCGTCTTCCTCGCCCTCACAGCTGAGTGTCAGTACCAGCACCTGCTGCCCAGGCCTAGGCACCCAGTGTGTCTTCTGCTTCGCCCATTCTGTCACCCTGGTGGCGTGCGGGGTCAGGGTGGGGGGAGATTGGGGAGTCGAGCAGTGGCAGACATGGAGTAACCATGGACTAGGGGGTGCTAATGGGCCATAAGGAGTCTGAGCCAGGAGCGGGAGCGGGAGCAACTTAAGACAGGAAACATCTGAAACTATTTTCAGAGTGGCTGGCTGG